GGGAGGCCGGGGCGGGAGGGGAGGCCGGGCACCCTGGCACAGCCCTCTCCAGCCCTGTTCTGGGGTCTCTGCCCGCCCTCTGGTGGTGGGACGTGGAGAGGCGTTGTTTTTCAGGCCCCAGGAGCTACGCAGAGGAGTCTTCCCACCCCCCCTGGAGGGAGGGCCTGGTCCAAGGAGCCCGGCAGAAGGAAAGGAGCCCAGGGCCTCGGGAGGGCAGGGGACGGGTGGACGTGGGCCTCAGGGAGCCGGGTCTGCTTCCCGCATTGTGTGATGCCTGCACTGCCCAGCGGTCCAGACCCTTCTCAAGTGAGCTGGGCCAAGAGGCACAGAGACTCAAGTTCCACGTCAGAGCAGGGTCCCGGCCAAACCTGCTGATGACAGACTGTGTGAGCTTCCGGTCAGCAGCCTGGAGGGGCGGCCGAGGCAGTGCCCAGAGGCAGAGCACGCTGCCCGGTGTCCAGGGCGGGCTGGGGTCCCGGGACAGGGCCGGGCTGCACACGGCACGCATGCAGGAGGCTGCGCGGCCTGGAGGCCCGTTGCCTTGAAGACCGGGCTTCACGGAGCTGGCCTGAAGCTGGGTCCAGCTTCAATGGGGTGCTTCCTTCAGGAGGGCGCGAACTTTGACCCAGCCCCAAGCTCTGCCCGGTGGTCCCTGCTCCCGACCTCTCCCCAGGGACCCTGGGTCCTGACCTCTCCCCCGGGGCCAGCCCCCACTCCCGACCTCTCCCCCGGGGCCAGCCCCCACTCCCGGCCTCTCCCCAGGGTCAGCCCCCACTCCCGACCTCTCCCCAGGGGCCCCCACTCCCAACCTCTCCCCAGGGTCAGCCCCCACTCCCGACCTCTCCCCAGGGTCAGCCCCCACTCCCGACCTCTCCCCGGGGTCAGCCCCCACTCCCGACCTCTCCCCAGGGCCAGCCCCCACTCCCGACCTCTCCCCGGGGCCAGCCCCCACTCCCGACCTCTCCCCGGGGTCAGCCCCCACTCCCGGCCTCTCCCCAGGGGCTCTGGCTCCCGACCTCTCCCCAGGGGCCCCCACTCCCAACCTCTCCCCAGGGTCAGCCCCCACTCCCGACCTCTCCCCGGGGTCAGCCCCCACTCCCGACCTCTCCCTGGGGCCAGCCCCCACTCCCGACCTCTCCCCGGGGATCCTGGGTCCCGACCTCTCCCCAGGGGCTCCCACTCCCGACCTCTCCCCAGGGGCCCAGCTTCTGGGCAGAGGGCTTGGGGAGGGTCACCCCAGTCTCTCAGCGAGTGGTCAGCTGGGGCTCTCTGGCACTGGGCGGCCTGGGGCCCCGGGAGGTGCCGCGGGTGTGGCCCAGACCCCGAGGCAGAGGCCTGGACTCCAGGAGCGGCCGTGGCCCCAGCACCGAGGGGCTTCGTCTGCCCAGGAAGAGAAGCTAGTGCCCATGCGACCCCGCGACCCCACGGCCCTGCGACCCCGCGGGTGGGGAACGGGGCCGGGCCCCTCCTGTGAGGCACCAGCATAAGGGCGGGGACCCCCCCCCATCTCCCGGACTCCATCTTGGAGTGGTTCAGAAGCCAACACAGCCTAGAACGGGACTCACAGAACCACTGTATTTCAGAAAACTCAGCGTCCACACACAATGGCACCGCATGTCCACCTCCAGTCAGCGCGGGATGCACGCCCGTCGCCAGAGGCGGCCCTGGGCTCCATGGGCATCTGCAACACAAAAGGCGACTGGCTGTGCAGGGCACCAGCGCCTCCCTGACCGCCCCCTGGGGACCCCGGGGTCCAACGGCACACCCCACAGGTGTCCTTCAGCCCCTACTGGCTCTCAATTCATTCCAGGGCGAGGGCTGGGCCTGACGGGCGTAAGACCCCAACACAGACCTAACACAGACCCAACACACAGACCTAACACAGACCCAACACACACCCAAAACAGACCCAACACACACCCAAAACACACCCAACACAGATCTAACATACACCCAACACACACCCAAAACACACCCAACACACACCCAAAACACACCCAACACAGACCCAACACACAGACCTAACACAGACCCAACACACACTCAAAACACACCCAACACACACCTAACACACACCCAACACACACCCAAAACACACCCAACACAGACGTAACACACACCCAACACACCCAAAACACACCCCAAACACACCCAAAACACAGCCAACACAGACCCAACACACACTCAAAACACACCCAACACACACCTAACACACACCAAAAACACACCCAACACAGACCCAACACACCCAAAACACACCAAACACAGACCTAACACACACTCAACACCACCCAAAACACACCCAACACAGACCCAAAACAGCCAACACAGACCCAACACACAGACCTAACACAGACCCAACACACACTCAAAACACACACAACACACACCTAACACACACCAAAAACACACCTAACACAGACCCAACACACACCCAAAACACAGCCAACACAGACCCAAAACACAGCCAACACAGACCCAACACAGACCCAACACACACCAAAAACACACCTAACACAGACCCAACACAGACCTAACAGACCCAACACAGACCTAACACAGACCCAACACACAGCCAACACCCAACACACAACCAACACAGACCTAACACAGACCCAACACACAGCCAACACACAGCCATCACACAACCAACACACACCCAAAATACACCTAACACAGACCCAACACACAGACCCAACACACAGCCAACACAGACCTAACACAGACCCAACACACAGCCAACACCCAACACACAACCAACACAGACCTAACACAGACCCAAAACACACCCAACACACACCCAACACACACCTAACACACACCAAAAACACACCTAACACAGACCCAACACAGACTTAACACAGACCCAACACAGACCTAACACACAGCCAACACAGACCTAACACAGACCCAACACACAGCCAACACCCAACACACAACCAACACAGACCCACAGACCTAACACACAGCCAACACAGACCCAACACACAGCCAACACAGACCTAACACAGACCCAACACACAGCCAACACCCAACACACAACCAACACAGACCTAACGAAGACCCAACACACAGCCAACACACAGCCATCACACAACCAACACACACCCAAAACACACCTAACACAGACCCAACACAGACCTAACACACAGCCAACACAGACCCCAACATAGACCCAACACAGACCTAACACACACCCTGACACAGACCTAACACAGACTCAACACAGACCCCAACACAGACCCAACACAGGACTAACACAGACCCAACACAGACCCAACACAGATCCAACACAGACCCCGACACAGACCCCGACACAGACCCGACACAGACCCCGACACAGACCCCGACACAGACCCCGACACAGACCCCGACACAGACAGACCCAACACAGACCCAACACAGACCTAACACAGAACCAACACAGACCCCGACACAGACCCCGACACAGACCCAACACAGACCTAACACAGACCCAGCACAGACCCCGACACAGACCCAACACAGACCTAACACAGACCCAACACAGACCCAACACAGACCTAACACAGACCCAACACAGACCCAACACAGGACTAACACAGACCCAACACAGACCCAACACAGACCCCAACACAGACCCAACACAGGACTAACACAGACCCGACACAGACCCCAACACAGACCTAACACAGACCCGACACAGATCCAACACAGACCCGACACAGACCCAACACAGACCTAACACAGACCCAACACAGGACTAACACAGACCCAACACAGACCCCAACACACACCCAACACAGACCCAACACACACCCAACACAGGACTAACACAGACCCAACACAGACCCAACATAGACCCCAACATAGACCCAACACAGATCTAACACAGACCCAACACAGACCCAACTCACACCCCAGGCCCGACCTGCATGAGACCCCAACAGAAACCCTCAGACCCTGCTCTGGAGGCAGGGTCTACATTCACTGGGTACACACACACACACACACACACACACACAGTGGCGCTGCACTGGACAGAGTCTGCCCTCTCGTGGGTACCCAGGCCTCTGCAGAAGTCTGAAGACTTCGGCCCCAACCGGCCTGAAGGTGTCTGGGGCCTCTGGTCTAACTGGAGCCTGTACTGCCACCCAGAGCGGACGCTCTAGGAGAGCCTGCTGCCCACGTCCTTCCCCTGCCCACGTCCTTCCCCTGCCCACGTCCTTCCCCTGCCCACGTCCTTCCCCTGCCCACGTCCTTCCCCTGCCCACGTCCTCCCCCCTGTCCATGTCCTTCCCCTGCCCACGTCCTCCCCCCTGTCCAGTCCTTCCCCTGCCCACGTCCTCCCCCCTGCCCATGTCCTTCCCCTGCCCATGTCCTTCCCCTGCCCACGTCCTCCCCCTTGCCCATGTCCTTCCCCTGCCCACGTCCTCCCCCCTGTCCATGTCCTCCCCCCTCGCCCCTCTTGGGGTGCACTGGGCATGTCCAGGGGCCCTGCCCCCACCGTAAGCAGGTGTTGGCTGCGTACCTGCTGGCACTTCCGGGAATGGCAGGTCCTGTACCATGAGAGGAGGCAGAGCCCGGTGATGCCCAGCATGAGGACGGAGGCCAGCGCCCCTCCCCGGGACCTGGGCCAGGTGGGTGCCTCCGGGCGGACTTGGTGCAGAGAGGAGGGTGTCGGTCTGCACCCCCTCCATGCGTGCTCCTCCCTGAGTCTCCACCCCCTCCCTCCCTCCCCCCTCCATCTCCCCCCTCTCCCCCCACTGCCTCCGCTCCTACCCCCTGTGCCTCCACCATCCTCCACCATTTCCCTCCCGCCTGGCCTCCCAACTCTTCCCCACAGCCTGAGCACAAGGATGCCCAGAGTAGGGCTGGGAGGAGGGGGTGGGAGGAGGGGGTGGGAGGAGGGGTGGGAGGAGGGGTCTGGGAGGAGGGGGCTGGGAGGAGGGGGGCTGGGAGGAGGGGGGGGGAGGGGGTGGGAGGAGGGGGCTCAGAGGTGGTGGGAAGGGGGATGGAGGTTCTGAAGAGGAGGTTGGGAGGAGGGGGTTTCAGGGGTGGGGTTGGGGGGGTCCTGGGTCCTGTCTTTGGAAACAGAGGTCACTCACCCCTGGAGGACAGGGCCAGTCCTAGGCCTGCAGCCAGCTGCGGGTCTTGGGGCTCTGCCAGGAAGATGGGGAGGTGGGGTCCCACCCAGCGTGGGCATCCAGACCGGCTCCCAGTTCCCAGAGGTCAGGAGGCCGTGGAGGGTGGGGTCAGGCAGGGAGGGGCTGCTCAGAGGGGGCGGGGGTGTCCCCTCCCCCCTCCCCCTCCCCCGACCCCTCCTCCAGCCTCTACCTCCAGTCCCGTCCGTCCACGACACGTTCAGGTAGACCTGTCTGAGGTTCGTCTGGTGTCCACGCAGACGCCAGGAGTACAGCCCGGCGTGGCGGTCCTGCGCGGACTCCACCACCAGCTGGGCCCGGCCCCCCTGGACCAGGAGCTGCCAGCCGTCCCGGGAGACGCGGGAGCGGCCTGCGGAGGGCTCCACGCGGAAGAGGGTCCCGTCGGCCCCGGGGGCGCTCAGGCTGACGGCGATGCGGGTGAAGGGGTTGGAGATGTTGCAGGTCATCACGGCGCGCTGACCCCTGGACACGGAGACCACGCCCTCGGTGCACACGGGGTCGTCCCAGCCTGGGGGGACGGGGACGGCATGGGACCCGGATCCTGGGGCCCGGCAGGGGCCTCGTGCAGACTGCGCAGGAGCGTGAGCACCCCGTTCCTCGGGCGCAGGGGGGGCCGGGGGGCCGACCCCGGGGGCTCCCCACATCCCTCCTGGAATCCGACCCCAGGCCCGCTGGCCCGGTGGCCGGCTGCGCACAGGCGCCATGTGAAAGGGCCTCCATGCGCAGCCTAACTGTAAGCATGAAGTGTGCGGCTGGTGCAGAGCTGTGCGTCCTGGGGGGGAGCAGGGCCTGGGAGTCACACGCGTGTGCCAGGTGTGCGGCATTGCGAGGTGGTAGGAGATACAGACAGACAGGCAGACAGATTGACAGACAAGCATCGTCTCTCCCTGCGGCTGATGGGACTCAGCGAGGACACTTTTGTCCTCATGTTGGGGACCCCCTGGGACTTCAGGTTTCCTGCGGGGGTGCTCCTCCCAGGGCGGGGCAGGGCCCTTCCCAGGGGTGGTCAGGTGGCCCGGGGCACCTGAGTGGCCGAGGCCGGACGCTTCACCGAGAGGCGTCCTGGGTTTGCCCCGGTGCCTGAAGCAGTCACCTGATACGCGTGGCTGCCTTTGTGCTCCCCTGGCCTCTTGCACACCTGGCCTTGCTCACACCTGGCCTTGCTCACACCTGGCCTTTCCATACACCCAGCCTTGCTCACACCCGGCCTTGCTCACACCCGGCCTTGCTCACACCTGGCCTTGCTCACAGCTGGCCTTTCCATACACCCGGCCTTGCTCACATCCGGCCTTGCTCACACCCGGCCTTGCTCACACCTGGCCTTGCTCACAGCTGGCCTTTCCATACACCCGGCCTTGCTCACATCCGGCCTTGCTCATACCCGGCCTTGCTCACACCCGGCCTTGCTCACACCTGGCCTTTCCATACACCCGGCCTTGCTCACATCTGGCCTTGGTCACACCTGGCCTTGCTCACAGCTGGCCTTGCTCACACCCGGCCTTGCTCACACCCAGCCTTGCTCACACCCGGCCTTGCTCACACCCGGCCTTGCTCACACCTGGCTTTGCTCACACCTGGCCTTTCCATACACCCGGCCTTGCTCACACCCGGCCTTGCTCACATCTGGCCTTGGTCACACCTGGCCTTGCTCACAGCTGGCCTTTCCATACACCCAGCCTTGCTCACACCCGGCCTTGCTCACACCCAGCCTTGCTCACACCCGGCCTTGCTCACACCTGTCCTTGCTCACACCCGGCCTTGCTCACACCTGGCCTTGCTCACACCTGGCCTTGCTCACATCTGGCCTTGCTCACACCTGGCCTTGCTCACAGCTGGCCTTTCCATACACCCGGCCTTGCTCACACCCGGCCTTGCTCACAGCTGGCCTTTCCATACATCCGGCCTTGCTCACACCTGGCCTTGCTCACACCCGGCCTTGCTCACACCTGGCCTTGCTCACAGCTGGCCTTTCCATACACCCGGCCTTGCTCAGACCCGGCCTTGATCACATCTGGCCTTGCTCACACCCGGCCTTGCTCACACCCGGCCTTGCTCACACCTGGCCTTGCTCACACCTGGCCTTGCTCACAACTGGCCTTTCCATAC